TGCAGCGCCCCGCGGGTGCGCACCCTGCCCGGAGCCTCGGCCGGCCCCGGGGCGCTGTGTCCGCGCGCAACGAGGGGGAGAGCCGCCTGCCTCAGGGCGGCAAAGATTTAGCTTGCAAAATCTCTCCTTATACCTCTCGGGACAAGCGAGCCCAGCCCTCCCTCCCTCCCGTCCGCGTTTCAGCTTTGCCACAGGCCCCGCAAGACGCCCCCCTGCCCCAGTGCCGGTGCCGGAGCCGAGCGCCCCCGCCGCCCGCGATGCGCACGATTGCCGGGAGCTCGCACTCCCGAGGGCGGCTCGGAAGACGCCGGTGTGTAAAGCACAGTGGAGGTCATGGTCTTGCCGTCGTGTTTAGTAAGCCCGAGGTGAAGCAGGAGCGAGGCCAGGACGCCCCGTCGGCCGCGGGCACCGGGAGGGCATGTGCGGAACGAGCCCAGCCGGGCCCGGCCCACGCAGCGCCTTATTTCCTTTTTAAAAAAATTGTTTTAATAAAAACCAACCGGTTCTCCTAAGCGAGACAGCTGCTGTGTTAGCAAAGAAGACGCAGGGGCTGCCCGAGGAGCCTCCCGCAGACAGAGCGGCCCTTGCCCCGCTGCAAACCCTAGGGGACTTTCACAGCTCCCGTTTGTACCTGCCCGGGGGAAGCAGCTGAGAGCAGAGATGAAGAGGGCGGTGATGGTGCAACTAACTGTCGAAGGTGTTATCTGCCTGTCTCGCTGGCAGGTGCTGCTTCGCATCAGCACCCAGGGATCCTCCATTAGCATTTTTGGTGGAGCCCGTATGGATGGATGTATGGCTGCATTAATTTTTTTAAACGACGCTGTTTTCTTTCCAGGGACACTTCTTTGATATGCAGTTCGCGACGATTAGAGCAAGCTCGGTCTGCTCTCGGCGTCATTAAGGCTACGCATCTGAATAAGAAAAGGCAGGGAGAGCTTAAAGCTCATTTGTATGAAGAAGGATCCCCCCCAAAAATAAGTAAAATTAAATTAAAAAAAAAAACGCACAAAAAAAATCCCACACTACCCCCCTGCGAGCCTCTGGGGCGATCCCAGGGGCTGGGAATCCCGGCGAGAGGCTGGAGAGTTTCTTTCCCTGCAACTTCGTTTGCGCTCAGAAATGCGGCTCCTGCCCGTGGAGAACAAGCCCGACCTGGTGTCGGCGGCTTTGTAGGACGTGCGAGGTCCGGAGCAGGGTCTTATCCGGGCCCCAACTGCTCGGCTAGTCTCGGCCGCCAAGAAGCAAAACAAAAAAATCTTTGATATGCTTAAAGAAAAAAAATTAAAAATTTAGGGATTTAAAAAAAAGAGAGACGAGAGCCGGCCGGGAGCAAAGAAAGAGCTCGGATTGGAAGGCAGCTTCAGCTGGTGGCTTGAACCAGACGCCACACGAAATCCCCAACGAGAAACGAGTCAGTGTAAGAAAGCAGAGCGGGGCTAAATGCCGAGGGCTGGAAAGCAAGCTTCCCCGACGGCCCCGGAGCCCCGCGCGGGGCCGGGACGGGGCGTCCCGGCAGGAGCCCGGGGGCCGGGCAGCGCAGAAGTGCGGTGGTTTCTAGGGGGGTGAAACCCCTCTCCAAGCCAGGGACTCGTGCTGGGCCACCTGCCGCCTCCCAGTGCCCCCGACACCGTGCACAGGTGCCTGCCTGCCCAGCCCGGGGTGCTCGTCCTTTTCTTCGGCTCGAAAGCAAACCAAGTCAGGAGGCGCTGGTCCTGGGGGGCGCCCGGCGGCCCCGGGCGTTAGCACGGGGGATCTCGGCGCACGAGAGAGAGGAGCTCGCGGAGGGCGGACATCGGACGGGGCGGAGACGCTCCCACCTGCCGGGCCCCTCTGGGGAGGGGGGCCAGAGCCCGGGGCATCACGGTGCCGGACACCGCCGAGCCAAAGGAGCAAGGTGGCGGCCCCGCCAGCCCTCGCCTGC